CTGCTTTATGTTGCATTCTCTTTTGCAGGGAAATCAAGGGAGAAAGATTTAAGAAATTAATAACTCAGTCCTATGCATGTTTAGACAAGAAAAAATGTACTGCAACTCCCAGCATTCCTCAGTGAATCCTACTAACTGAGGAATGCTGGGAGTTGTAGGGTTTTTTCCTCTGTCTAGCTATTACACCCTCATTCAGTGCCTTTTAAGTAAGATCACCAGGAAATTTACAATAACTTATAATACACTATTTGAAAAATTTCTAAAACTTCATCTAAATACTGGGAGAAAAATAACATAAAAACAGAACACCTACATGGCATTAAAATTTCACCAGATTTTTAAAACCTTAGGGAAATAAAAAGAAAGGTACCAAGCAAGTCTTTCAGGGAAAAGAATTCCTTAGGAGGAGGATCATCAGGACTCATCTCACCCTGTTTGATGGGCCTTTCTGAAGAGAACTCTGAAAAAAGTTCACAACACAAATCCCTGTCCCAGACTCAGGTCTTTCATGATATACATCAGCTTTTTGAATTCTGCTTAGTAACCCATCAGGAACCTGTGCCACTCTTCTAGTGTTGGCGTAATAGATGCTTTTCATTTGCCTCTGCAGCTGTGTTGTGTACTAACTGTGGTTTCCAGTCTTCAAAGGCAGCCCCAAGTATTTTGCAGTCATTGAACCTAGCGGTTCCCTGAACATGGATGCATGTTTCCATTAGCTGTATATTTATATGATTTGCATGATCAGAGTCTAAGCTATTCCTGGCAATGCTGGCAGTACACTTCCAGTTAGGGTCAGCTATGGGGGCAGAATTGCAAAGGATGGCTTGTCTACCAGTCACAGAACTTCAATAAGCAACATTGCTAAAATCTTCTAATTTTAATTTCCCTTGAGAGAAGTTCACCGATGCACTTAAAATGGTTTCTCTGGACTCTAGCCAGATTTCACTAAGGTTGAGTTGAAGTTAACTAATAATTGCAATATCCACTGGAGATCATGGATCAAATGCAACAGGGAGAGGGTTCATATTACTTGATACCACAAAATATTTTCCAGATGCTTGCTTGAATAGTCAGGTTAATTCACATGTGCACCAAAGATGTTCATTCTTGGGCTGGGGACCACAAAACCTGCTTGAGCACCTCTCTCAAGCCTGACATACCTGACTATACTCAACCTCTGGGGCCTTCCTCTGGGAGCCAACCACTTGGAGGGTGAGAATTAGGGGAGGCCCTTTTCTGTGATGGCCCCCCGTCCCTGGCACAACTTCACTGCTGTGGCCCACCTGGCACCAAATTTGGCATCTTTTCAGCACCAGGTTAAGACAGTCCCCTTTGTAGAGGCTTTTAAAGATCTCCTGATCATCCAGAACCCTGATGGATTTATCCAAGTAATTTTTTTCTTTCTTCTTGGTTGGGTCCTTTCATTGCATTTTAAATGCTATTTTAATTGATTTTAAAAATGTTTTAAATTTATACTTGCAATTTGTATGCCACTACAATGGCCCATATCTGGGCTCCCTGTGTGGCTAATTAAAACAACACACCATTCTAAAATCAGACATAAAATTAACATATATAAACATATTAAGAACATAACCAGAAATAAAAACATAATATATCAAAATTAAAATATTACATAAATGCATTAAAGTAAGCAAATTTAAATCAACCAAAAAAGGATTAGTTAAAATCAACCACTAAATTTTGTTATAAAAATAGTCAGAAAAGAGGAATGTCTTTGGCTGGCACCAAAATGCTGAGAGCGATGGTGCCAGGTGCACCTCTCTTAGGACCCTATTCCAAAGGTGGGGTGCAACTACTGAGAAGACTGTTCTTCTAGCCAACATCCCGTTCTCCTCCCTAGGGGATAGCTGCTTGAGAAGGACCTCCTCACTAATGGATGGGTAGGGACATTAAGTCTTTATAGACTATGACAAACCCCCAGTTCCCTGGCCCTCTGGGCGATGTTGGTTGAACTGATTACCCAAGTGGACACAACTGGGAAAGAGGGACTCCATCTTCTCCCAATCAGGTCCTGCTGATACATGCTAATTCAGCCCTTTCATAATCATATCATGGGAGAGAGATCTTTGTATAAACTGACCTGCTGTTTAATAACAGCACCACAAAAACCCAAGGGCTTCCTAGTATGAATGCCTGGAACTATTTGGTTAGGGGAGAAACCAGAAGAGGGGACAGATGTAAGATATCAAATGTCTCTTGTCCTGGGCAGATGTGTTAAACCCCTATCACCATATCTCCCTTTACCCATCACTACTTCAATGGGTGTGCCCCAAGGCTCCACCTCTCTCTCCAGCCACTCATTAAAAGACCCCATATAAAAATCAGTCAATCAATCATTCAATAAAATAAAATTTTAAAAAGCCTTCAACCTACTATATATACGAAATATGGTGCTAGAGGAGACCTTGTGAATACCTGGCAGGACCAACTGAAAGAACAAATACCATGGTGCTGAAGGCCCAACAGAAGGACAAACAAGTGGGCCCTAGATCAAATCAAACCAGAATCTGCCCTAGAAACAAACATGATGACAGTGAGGCTATCGTACTTTGGGCACATCATGAGAAGGCATGACTCACTGGAGAAGACAATAATGCTAAGGAAAGGTGAAGGCAGAAGAAGAGGAAGACCATGGCTTGATTCCATAAAGGAAGCCATGGTTTTGAGTTTGCAAGGGCTGAGCAGGGTTGCCAAGGACAGGATCTTCATAGAGCCACCACAAGCTGGAGACAACTTGTGGGCATGTAACAACAAGAAAGAAGTGGGGAGAGATATAGCAATGATAGAGGATATGAGGGAGGGAGAGACAGGAAGGAAGAGGGATAGGGAAAGGATAAAGCTAGAAGCTACGAGGGAAGAAACACTGTGCTAAAGCAGCTGTAAGAACACAAGAAATCGTGAGGCTGGAAAGGAAGATAAAGAAGACTGACCATTTTCCAAGGCTTTGATTTAAAAAAATGTTTTGAAGTGGGGATGGACTTAAGAGTTCATGGGTGCCCTTGGAAATCTGCTCAGGCAAAGTGTAGGAGACCCCTAGATTACAAGGCATATTCTACTGCTAAAAATAGGAATGGCATAAGGAGGTACCAACATGAACATCTCCAGTCTTCCCCAACCTGGTACCTTCCATATGGGTTGAACCATATGCCCAAGTTTCCTGAGCATTGCCCACACTGTTAGGGCTGATGCGAATTGAATTCCAAAGCAACTGCAGGATGCTAGGTACATAGACCTCAATGGGGGATATAGCAGTGATAAGGATGGTTGCTTCCTTGTGCACCAAGATGTTGGATGACGTCAAATCAACGAATGCTTTTTTATCAGTATAAACATAGGCTATAACAAAGCCATTGAGGGAGATATAAACAAGGTGAGATAAATCACAAAACATTTTTCTAGATTTTATTGGGCCCTCTTTTTTTAAATTCTCCGCTTGGAAGTAGTCCAGTTGAACTGAATTGACACCAATCCTAAGGAAATAGTTTGAGTGTTTCAGCCTAGCACAGAAAATGTGAAAACAAACAGGAAGCACTTTTGCTGATTGTAGTGGAAAAGGTTTTTGAAACCATTCCTCTTTCCTCCATCATGCTGTCGCCTCCTGAAATATATGTATTAACATCTTTCTTCAGCATATTGTATTACTATTATTATCAGAAATAATGTTTCTAATAAATTAGGGCAGATGGGGCTTATAAATATTTACCATAAGGTCTTATACTAGGCTGATAGCTCCTTTTGCCAAACCCAAACAAACACTCATTTGTGTGTATTCAGAATGCTTTAAAAGTATATTTTAAAAAGTCACAAAATTGGATAGCTTTAGCATCCAAAAAAAGGTATCAAAATGTTTGGCACTTGAAAATCAGCTAACCATTGAGCAAATGGTTTTTTAAAAAAACCCAAATGGAATGTATAACAACCTCCAACCTACTTCTGAATACCAGGCATAGACAATATTTGTGAATCAAATATATAAAATACTCCTGACCCACTAATGCTGGGTTCTGTGTTTGTAAATAATCAATTAAAACTACATATTCACCTGAGACATCTCATTTCTGTACTGATCCTCAAAGAGAGAGAGAAGGAGATTGTAATATGAAAAAACTACCTGCCTTCTCATTCTTTTCTGAGCCATTAAACTCCAAATCTATTTCTTTCCCTACAACATCTGTAAAAATCCCCTATCAGCAGTAGATATTGGACCTAACAAGGTTTACTCCCTGTCTTGAAATAAATGGGTCATTGCTGCATGTTACTTGGCCAGGAAGGCTCTACTGGTCTGACTACTTAAAAAAAGCTTGATGGGGAGTTTCGAGGAGGAGGAGGATAAAATACAAAGAATTGTATTTAATAAATGTAGTTAATAAATGCTTATACTTTGGTTGCATCATACCCATGCTTCACAAAATGAAGCAGGCATGTCTGTGAGAAGTTGAGTTCCTGGTCATTAAGTGACCAGAAACAACACTCGATAGGAGCCAAAACACTTGATAATATCTTCAAAATGGCACTAGAAGTATTACTGCATTTCTCGAGTCCCAAGAGACTGCAGTTTTTAGTGTTGGGAAGTTGTAATATCCTCCAAAAAAAGTCTTCTGGCAGTGAGTTTCAGTGGAATATAAATGTGCCTTTACTGTGCACTGAACTAACTGCCCTTGGAGTGAGTGTACTGAAAAACATGATGGTCAAAAGCCAAAATTATCTGGCATAAAGATGATCAAATGACTCAAGGAAATTCCATTGTTTCAAAAGAATAACCTGGGGAAACTCTTTACCTGTAATGACATGGCAACTCTCCTCCTATCCAAAAGAAACAGCTTTTCTAAGCTGAAGGTCACAGTTGCTTGTGTATGAATAAGCTACTATGTATACCTTTCCTACCGGAAAATATAGAATAATAAACATTTTTGAACAACAGGACAGCAACAAAGAGAATAAGAAACTCAGAAGAACAAAAATGTAACAAGACAAAACCCTAAGAAATGGGGGAAGGAAGCACATTGATGTTATTTTAGGTGCTTGTAACCTTTATGTTCTCCTCACATGCTAAATGTGCTTCTACAGATGTACAGATGCAGGAATGACTATGGAGCTATAATTTCCCCATTCCCTTTGGTAGGTTACAGCAGGAAATAATACAATCAACTTTAAAAGTTAAATATAGTTGTTTTTAAAGCTTTTGCATTTTAAAAGCAGCAAGCCGTCAAGAGCCAGCCAGTTCGCAGCATGCCTAGTAAGTCATTTGTTGTAAAAAGAGGAGAGAGCAGCCTTTAATGTGCAGCATCACTTGCAGCCTCTGAATGCATTTATTCTTGCCATAAACCTGAGGATATTTATTAGTCTCAGCTCAGCACTGAACAGGTACATGTTTCCTGTTGATGTTCTAGAACCTGAGCACAACAGCTTTCAACTTGGTCTAGTCTTACTTGTACAGTCTTTTATTAAAAGCCATACAGTGCATTTTCTCAAATGTAGCATCTCTTTGAAGGCAAGGAGGGAAAACCTTCATCTGAATAACAGTGGATGGGAAAAGGTTTAATCTATACTGTTTCTACCCCTTTGACATGACTGCTCTTTGAAACATTTTGGATCTCCATTATCTCATCTAGTTTGATCCTAACAGACACTGGTTTGACAAAAGTTTACATATTGCCTATTAATTAATCAAGGTATCAGTGATTGCCTGTTATCACTGGAAGAACTATCTACAGATGTGTATAATTTAAATTATTTCAGAAATCCCATGTACAAAATCAGCAATGAGACATTCAGGACAGGCCTCTTATACCTATTATTTACAGCATCACAAAAATGTAGAGCTCAGAGTAGTGTCACAAGGATACTATCAGACTGAAATCTACACTTCCTGTGGAACATAGCTGGACTTACTTCTGAGTAGAGACATAAACAATTGCACTACGATTATGTAACATGAAGGAGGCACCAGTCATTCTTAGCACAAGGCATATAAAACAGACCACTGAGTTGTACATTAAACCAAATGGTACTATGCCAAAAACAGAGCACAGAAAGGGTCAAAGATAATCAACAGCAGCAATGGCAGGTGGTTTGCACATTAATTAACATACACTGTAATTGAGTGTCTTTCAGTATCCATGACAGTTCCTTGTAAAGCTGAGTGATATATAATCATTCAATGAGAAAGTTTTCCTTTTCACTCATATAAATGATTGCTTGCACAGGAATAATTATGGGCACCGTGGGTGAAGCTTTTGTTCCTGCTTCATGAATCAGAATGTAACACTGTTACGAGGCTTGACTACAGGACTGCAACTAAAAGAACTTTAAAAATAGATGAATAATTGGGAAGACATTTAAAGCTGCTGGCCCACACATGTGGGACACATTATTGTGATCCTTCATGAATTTTCATGGTAGAAAAATGTTCAAGGGTGAATGAACACCACTGTTCATAGCTGGCTTCATCATTCATTGTAGTATTCTCATTACAGCTTTTGTTTCATTGTGAACTACAGTTCCTGAATGTCTGCCTGCAACAAAGACGTTGTATGGTAAAGAGCTGTGTATTGAGGTTGAGATTTACCTATTTAAAGCCTCAAGGGGTAAAAGGCCTTTTACCCCTTTACTGCACATTGGACAATACTGAAAATTCAGAGAAAGCAAAATAAAAATTGATTGCAAAAACAGTCAGAAATTGTTGTTGGAAAGAACCACATTTGGCATTTAAGTTTGCTAGTCTTCTGTTTAAGAATCAGTGAGGAAAGGAGAGGAGTGTTTTTCAAGCATGTATTCAAGCTATTATTATTTGATCACTGATAGATGTTATTACATCAATCCTATGTTTGTATTTCTACTCTAAACCAATTTAACCCAATTTTTAAGAAGCATTTCTACTTGGTATCTTTTTTCTTACCAGAGATTCACTAATTTTACTGATCCTTAACAGTGAAATGCCTATTAATGTTTGATAGAAACAACAATATTGAACAGATTAAAATGTTTATCTGTATCTTGGCAAAATGTTGTGCTTTAGAATTCTGGTATAATTACTATTATGGTTGCCCAAATAAGCTGGTAAACACCAGCAGCTCTTTGTGACAGCTTCCAACATTATGCTTCTTTTCCTGGTTACTGAAACATTAAAAATTTGAGCCTCTCCACTCCTAAACAACCTTATCCTTTGTAAAAGCAACTAGATTATTCTTTTCCTCCCACACCATGGTATCACCTCTGCAAACAATCTGCTCATTCTGGTCTCCAGCATGCAGCACTCTTCTAGCCTCCTGTGCAAGAAAAGGACACTGAAACACTAAACTCAGTGTCCTTCCTAACATGAAAGGCATTTATAGAGAGCAGGCTCTGCATGACATGTTCAGGCACGTCGTTTTAGTTCAAAAAGGCTACTGAATGAGAATACAAATCCCAGCATGCAACGCCATCAAAATAATGGCGGGACGAAGAGCAGCAGCTAGTGCACTACACCTCCCATGATGCTTCTTGGAGGACAAAATTAGAAATCCGGGCTCGCTTCTGCAGTATCACGCTGTATGGGACCTGTAGTCCTTTCGTCTTAACTCCCAGTTTTGTTAGCGGGGGGGGGGGGGGGCTTGGCGCATGCGTCTGCCTTGCGAGGGGGCGGTTCCTGTCGCTTACCGAGGTAATAAAGTTTCTCCTTTGAGGAGGGAAAGGAACGGGGGAGCAGCGGTAGTTCGACCACGGAGAGGAAAAGAGGGCGGGACAGCGCTGGGAGTGGCGGCTGGCCGGCTTCGTCGCGCTCTCTCGGGGCTCCGCAGGAATTTGCTTGGGCTTGAGTGAGTACCGTGCGCCGGAGGAAGAGCAGGGCCGAGGAAGACCTCCCTTCCCCGCCCACCTCCCCGCGCCGGCAAAGGCTTGCTCCGCCGGGGCGGGGAGCGCGCGTGCGAGGCGGGCGGGCTCTGGGCGAATAGCAGGGGAAGGCGCGCGGCCGCCTGGGCTGAGGCGCCTGGCGAGCAGGTCGCGGGGGAGCCGGAGCGGGAGTGGGCGTGCACGCGGTAGGCTTGCCTGGGCGGGTGAGGGCGAGTGGGGCCAGAGGCAGCTGCGGGTACGGTGGAGAAGTGAGGGGTGGGCTGCTGAGAGCGTGGAAGGCAGTGCTGAGAGAGTAGAGGAAGGGTGGCGGCGGCGGCGGCGGAGGAGGGCTGCGACGAGGAGGAAGCTTGCTAATGGATGGAGGGGGCGGTTGGCCGGTAGGCAGTATGTCACTGTCAAGAGTTGGGGGAGAGGTGACGGAGCAGGGCTGCTGGTTGTTGCCTTCTTCGTGCCCTGTTCGTAAGCTTCCTGTAGTCATCTGCCTGGCTGGGTGGTCCTGGCCTGATCAGAGATGGGGCGGCGGCGCTCGCCTCGAGCGTGCATGGCCTTAGAGAGGGGCTTCGTGGAGGATCAGTGCCTGGTAGCCCTGATGAAACCTGCTTGTTCGGAGGCGGCGTGCTCCTGAGGCAAATGGCTGCGAAACATCACCGCGGGAAGGCACTTGGTTGGCTAGTGTGGAGCAGCATGCAAGGCTAGGTGGGCCTTTGGGCTGACCCTGTGGTGCTTCCCTTCACCTTTTTGGCGGGGGAGAGTGTCGGGTTAGCTGCAATTCCCCAGGCCTGGTTGTAGGAGGAGATTAAAGTGAGCGAGGTTACCCGCGACATCGTACGTCGGGCATTAGATGTGCTGGTGCTGAGGTCGAAGAAGGCAGGCTGGGAGAGGCGGAGGGGAAGGAGGGGTGTAATATGGGTGTTGGGGATAACCCCTTTAATAAGTATTTTCTGGAAAGGCTTTCCTCTGATTTTGCTTAGTCCTGCAGCATCTTTATGCTTAAATGCACACCTGCTTTTTACTGTGACTCTGAAAGTGACTTTTTACCTTAAGGGAAACTTCCGCAGTGCATGGTATCATTAACTGGCTAAGTGGCTGAGACTGTGCAACTTCCCCAGTAGTCAGGAGCTGATCTTTGTAACTGGGTAATTTTCGTTACTTCAGTGTTCTGAGTGTGACGCTGTGGAGACTCAGATCTTATCAGCATTGAATCATAAAGTAATTTGGGTTGTGGTTGCATGCTGGGCTTGTGTAAAGGATGGGTGGGGGCATGAATGCTGGCAAAACATTTTCAGTGGGTTTTCACAAGTTGTGCATTTTGTATGTGTTGACACAAATTGGAGTCTTTAAGCAGTTGCTAAAGGAAAAAAAATCTAATTAAAATTGGATTTTAGCTTAATGTTTCCTTTACAATGACTTCAAAAGCATTCTGATATTGGGCATTCCTCATTAATATCTGTAAAAGATCAGTAAAATCACCTTATCTGTATACTGTTTTTAATTGCTAAATGTTATTTTGACTTTCAAAATACTAATGGTTTCTCTCATTTTATTGCATTAAAATATAAGTAAAATAAGAAAGTACTTTTTCAGAATAATTGCTGATTGCAGTATTTGTATAATAGAGGGGCACCGTAATGCATAATAGTTCTCTGAAATGTCTTTTTGAAAGAGAGCAGTGAGGTTATTACCGAGATGTTGACCTTTTTGGGGAGAAAAAATGAAACAGGCCTGGTCATTCCTTGATATTCTGATGAATTCTTATGCACATCTTGTATTTTAGGATCATGCCAGTGGCATGAAGGTAGTTCTGTTTTGGTGCCTGGGAATTGAAATTCATAGCACATTCTGAAATGACAGTTCAGTAAGCATTTAAATAATCATAATAAAATAGTCTTAAATTGCAGTTGTTGTCTTACATGATTACTGTACTCTATGGCAGTTTTTGGAAAGAAAAAGTACTAATTAACACATCATTTGGCATTGTGATAATCACGTTCTGAGTTCAGCCTTTTCTCACATGTATTGCTTTCCTTCTAAGTTAGTTATTTTCAGTAGGCAGTATCCACCTTTGCCAGCAGGGCCCACCCACTAGTACCATGGAGAGCTAGTGGTTCTAAACAAGTGGAAAAGCTCGTTTCTGGAATGGGATAATTTAGTGGAGCTTGAAAAGGGAAGCTTCATTGGCCTGTCCTCAATCAGAAATGAGAGTTTCAACTTGCTGCTGGTGTTGCTTTTAGAATTGCTAGCTTTCTGTTATGTAGGCAATGGATCCCATTTGCACAGCAGATTGGGTGGAAGTGGAACCATAAAAATATGATTCACTGGGTAAGGTGAGACCCAAGGCTCCTTCATACAATGGTACCCAGTTGACTGCAGATGCAGAAGTTGTATTTCTGCTTTCAAGCTGTTGAAGTTTTCTGCTTCTCTGGTGGTTGCACCACTATATGGCTCCTTGCAAAACGTGTGACACATTCAGGGAATCTAGTTGTGTTGTTTCCTAGCGGTGATCACTTTCTAGTAAGAAGGATTCTCTTTCCTTACTACTTTTAGATCTTACACTCACCCATAATTACAACCTTAGTATGCCTGTACTTGAACATACCTTTGGTCAAGAGATTGGGGGTTCCTACTTTGTGCATTTCACAATGCTTTATTCTAATGCTTTCCCTTCAGAGGATGTGTTTGTATAGAACTGTTTTTATTTGTTTTGCTTCATTACAGATACTAGATTTACAGTGGGACTGAACCATTATTTGTAGTGAATCCAGAGTCTGTTTAGCTGTGCTTATGTTGTAGGTCTGACATCTAATATAGAATATAAAGGCTTGAACAGAATGTGAAAGGCCATTCAGTACTATTTCAGCATGAAAGCTTTGCATGCCTTTTCGGAGTGTTGATGCTATCGAATGACCTGTATCTGTGCTTTGTGCCCAAAGTGTGGCTCCTTCCCATGACATCACTTGGCTGTTTAACATGCAAGATTTAGGCGGAATAGAAGCTTCTGGCATGCTATAGTATGATTTCTGATACATTGCTATAAAGAGAAAGAGATCTGTGGCAGTTAGTCCTATAATAGTGCATCTAACAATCCAGGGGGAAAAATGTATTACAAAGAATATAGCATGGATTGTGTATGGCAAGATTCAAGAGCTCTAACAGATATATACACAAACACCTCTGATACATAACAGTTTCTTTCCTGCTGCTGTTTAATTTCAGAAACAGGAATAATGTTTATCTTATCTTCCTTGTACCCAATTTTTGATTCTTGTGCTCTAAGAATTGGCATACCACTTGACTATTTAATGAATTAATGAATCTGTTTTTGAACTTTACATTATGTACAATATAATTGTAATTAAGAATATTCATAGGAGAGACAGCTTGTGTTCCTCTGGTCTGTACCTCACATCAGCCCTAGCCAGCATAATCTGTGGAGATGGATGATGGGATTTGTAGGCCTAAACATCTGGAGAACAAAGGTTGCCTCCCTTACTTTATATGGTAGCATGAAAGTACAGATAGATAACTAAAAAAATTGAAGCTGTTCAGTTTCAGATTTGTTGCATTTTAACTGTATTCAACTAAGTTATCTTAAGGAGTTGCTAGTGGATAAAAGTATTATTCAGTAATTATCTAAATATGAAATGATTTGCATGGTAGTTGGATTTCACAAACCGGTAGTTTACAATGTATTTCCTGCTGAAGCAAAGTAAATAGAATTGCTCCCCTCCCATTCTATTCTATTCTGAAGGAAGGAAGCTGGTGGTGTTACTTTAAAAGCAGGTATACTTCCTTGAGGAAGGTGCAGAAACTTGAAGTGTGTGTGCCATCTAATTTGTGGAGCTGGAGAGGAAACAGTATAATTGAAGTTTGCATGGAAAGAATAGTGGTTCTATTAGTGACATCCATACAGCTTCAAAAATTGGCAGTTTTTTGCACTTTGCCTAGACCTTAAAAATACCAAGAGGTTTTAAATGTAATCTTCTCTAGAATGTATCATTTTATGCTGTGTTCTGCTTTTTCATTATTTTGAACTTTAGTGTGCTTTAATTGTGAGCTTATTTTTTGACTTTATATTGTTCTTTCTCCTGAGAATCCTTGGGCAGAAAAGTGGGATATAAATATAATAAGTAGTGATGATGACAAAGTAATGACAAGAATTAGAGTGGAAAAACTCCAAATGCCCTAGAATTCTAGATAATAGTGTTTATTATCTTAGATGCTAGGAAGCACTTCCTGACAGTTAGGACCCCGAGGGTGTGGAATGGGCTTCCACGGGAGGTGGTTGAGGCCCCATCGGTGAGGGTGTTCAAGGATAGGCTGGACATGCACATGGTGAGCATGTTGTGAGCGGAGCTGGCTGATGCCGGAGGTCAGACTAGATGGCCCAGGAGGCCCTTTCTGACTCGCGCTGTTTCTATGTTTCAGGAATTGGAAGCTTTTTTTTTTTTTTTGCAAATTCCAATACATTACTGCAATGCACTGGTTATTACTATTCAAACTAGTCATGACAAAATGAAACTTCATACAAAATAAGAAAATATGAGCATAGTTTCCTAAAATCGTGCTAATTTTCCTTGAGATTCACTCTTTTTTAATACATAAACATTGGTGGTGTATTTGATAAATGTTTTGTATCACAGAAAGGCGAGAGAGGATGACAGTATAGTATGGATGTTTCCCAGTATGTTATTTTCTAGGAAAATGTGTGATGTTCTTCCCTGTACTGCATATATCAACAAATATGTACCTACCAGACACACATCTTTGATAGTAGATATAGTAGATGCTTTGATAGTAGAAGCATAATTCTTAGGGTATCAAGAGTGATCGTACTCCTTGATGGACTTAGTCTGGATTCAGGAGTCAGTTCAGATGTTTTAATTTTGTGCTAAGCTTCTATTAATATAATTCTGAAAATTATGCTGTAATTTTAAATAAGCTTTGTGCTAGAAATAAATTCAGTTCA